CAACCATTGGTTTATTGAGACACTGCTGCTCTGCATTGGCCACAATATATTATGGGAGATCTGTCGGCTTGAGTAGTAGCAGCTCTGACTTGTGAGTCACTTGTGTGTTCTTATATCTCCTTCTCCTTAATATGGAACATGCTTGTCAATAACTGCAACATCATGCTTTCAATCCATGTTGTCACTACAAGATTACCTTTTGGAGGCCATTGAAAAGTATGCTATTGATAAACTTCTCATAATGTTTTTATAACGAAACTTCTCATAGCGTTTCACCCACAAAATATACAGTCAATTCACTTTACAGTGTATTCTGTGAAGCACTTTATACATCTCGAAGACATGATTAAGCGCTACATCAAATGCAAGGATTATTATTATTATAATTTATTATTATTGTTACAAATTTATTATTATACAACAACAACTTGGATTTATATAGTGCCCTCCACGCCTGACGGTGTCTCAGAGCGCTTCACAATAACGGATCCCGGGGCCGAGTCAGGGGGAGGGGGAGGAAGGTGACCAAAGGCACGGTTGAAAAGAAAGGTCTTCAGCAGGGACCTGATATCCCCAAGGATCAAATATACATCAATAATCATGTCTAAACTGTTTTTCTTTTCCTTTGTCTTTACCAATTTTCTTCCATGTCCTCCCGTCCTGAAAGGGTCACGTTCTTTATCTTCGTGAAACATCAGGTCAAACCTGAAAATCACTTGTTGTATCTTCTCAGTTGCACAGTTGTGCAGAAATTCCTAAGTAATGATCTTGAACAAGGCTTGTCAAGTTAAATTGGCCTTTAGCCACTCCTTTCACTAACCTTTGTACATTTGTTAGAAATACTCAAAGTAATTCTAAATACGGGCAACTCATCCATCCATTGGTGTGTAGTCAACATTTCATACTCCTTCACTGCACTTAGCAAGAAGAGGAATGTTGACCCTCTTATGTATAAATTGAGTTGATTTGGCGCCACCTTCAGGCAGATCTGGAGCCATCATCACCCTTCTCTCTCTCGGCAGCCATTTCCTATTGGTTGGCATTGTTCATTCTGTTTTCGCTCTGCTCTTTCCACATGCGTATTAGGTTTCAGTGACCTGATCTGTATTTTAACCATAGTTGTTACTTTACAACTCAGTTAGGGAAATAAAGAGGTAAGAAATGCTGGCTTCACCAAATTGTACCTTCAACGTTTACTTCCAGAATTGGTCAAGTTTAACTTGCAAATCCTGTCATTTTTGTGATTCTGAAAGTTAAACTTCATAATAGGAATTGACAAGGCTGTAGAGGATCATTACTGAATAGGATTTTTCTGGTCCCATTTTCCAAATCGCATTCTATCTCTCATACATCCAATTGCACTGCCATCATAAACCTAATTAATTTCCTCCTGAAACATTGATTTCTTCTTTCACTGTCGCCCTAGGCAGACTGTTTGCTATACATACTGTATTCACCACCATGAGTGTAAAGCAGTTTGATCTAAATAAGATTTCTGTGCTACTGGACTGGGGGAGAGGTGGTATATTATCTCTGAAGGACGGAAGGCAGATTTGAATCGGAAGAGAAAAAATATTGTGGCGTTTTTTAGTGATTGAATTTGTGACCCAGGGATTCACTGTATGACATTTCCCTGTGTGTATTTAAGAAACAACTCAATGCTGTGATGAGAAGACAGTAAGCTGGGTATTTTGGAAAGATGAGATCAAATGATCTTGTGTGGGAGTTGGTGGAGTGCCCGATAGGGCGAGTTTTATGTTATTTGTAGAAGAAGCAAGCTTTGATCAGCAGGAGAGCCTTTTCTCATTCCATGCTTTTTATGTTCTTACACCACAATTTTACTCTTATATTTTTATAACCTAATTAGGTCCTGTAATCATCCTTGCATTTGATTTAACGTTACTTCCGAACCACTAGCAATGCAGTGCATTCTGAGCACTGAATTGGAGTCAGTATAATCTCTGTGTTTAAAGACCTGAAATATGCTTGATCTTACAGTCTTCTGACTCACAGGTGAGAATACTATCAAGTGAGCAGGCTGACACCTTCTGTGTCACTATTCCGTGTTGATGGTGGTGAGGGGGGAATCTTCTAATCTCCAGTCCTGTTTAAAGCTTTAAATCTTTGTCCTTTTCTTTTCGTCACACAGTCTCAGTCAAGCAACAACCTACTTAGCAGTGTAGAGGACTGGAAAATACCATTGAAGTATTTATATTTGGTCTGTGGCAAATCATAAATGCTGAACATCATTTGCTGCTCAGCATTAAAAAAATTGGATCTTATTCTCCTCATTCTGTTTTTTTCCAAAGCAAACAAGCTCTGCTCAACAAATCTCTCTTCTCTTCATTCTTCACTTGACCATCTCCAATGCTTATTTGAATATAAGCTGTCCAGAGTGCTCACAGTATTCTAAATGTTGCATTCAAAGGCCTAGTACCAAGGTTAAAATAATGCTTTATGATCTACCTAGTACTTGTTCAAACTTGTTGATAACAGCTTCATGTTGAAACATTAAATAAATTATCAATAATCCTTTACCACCATTTTATCCTTTTAATGTGGATAGTTTCCTATTCCAAAATGGATTGTCTTACATTTAGCAACAACAACTTTAATTTATATAGAGCCCTTCATGAAAGTCGTGTCTCAGAGTACTTAACAGCGGTGTGGTTTGACGTCGAGCTGTAAAGCGAGGGGAGGTAACCGAAAGCACGGTCGAAGAGGAAAGACTTTAAGTGATTTGAAGATGGAGAAAGAAGTGGTAAGACAGAGAGATCGAGGCAGAGAGTTCCAGAGATTGGAGATATAGTGTCTGAAAGCACGGCTGCCAATGTTGGAGTGGAGGGGTCAAGAGACATGCAGAATACCTGGACTAGCTGAGCTAAAGCAGTGGGGTAGTAGAGTGGGTGTGAGCATTTAAGTTTCCATTTCACAAACATGGACATTTGTTTTATATGGGATCCCAAGGACTGGAACATATAATTTGTTGTGTGTAAATCTAGTTACTACAACTGCAAATGGGTTTTGTTTTAACCATCTTTCCCGTTATGGAAAGACATCAGTAACTCATTCCAAATGTGATTCTACCAATTTCACACACAAGTTATTTCAGTTTTTTTAAACTATCTGGATCATTTGAATGTAATGGACAAACAATGGATGAGGAAGAATGTAAAAGTAATATGGGTAAAGAGCAGGGGATTGATATTATCATGGTTAATCCATTTGTTGTGTACAAAAGGGCTACCATGTTTACCTACAATAAAGAGTCACTACACTTGCTAATAATTACTGTAATGTGCTTTGAAATATTTTAACATGATAAGTTGATATAAAAAATCTTTATCTCACCCTCCCTCCATTCTATTCAGAGCCTAGTCTTGTGATTTAGTTCATTAATTTGATGTTCTAAGATAGCTGAGACAACGCTCAGAATACAGTTTGCATTTTCATGAATCAATTCACTTATTCATTGTAGGAGTGTATACTTGCTTGAATGTCTAAGTAGCAGTCTAATTACTTCATAACAGTGAAGTGGTTCAGGACTCTAGTTCAAACATTTGTGGCTAAATTGTGTTCCAGTTGGAAAGAGCAGAAGAGTAAGCAAAGCAGTTTCGTGCATGGCCAGAACATTTTGCAGTTATTTTACTGAATATACATCACTATTCAGATAACATTGAACAATGAGCTCAGAGGAATAATGTTTCAAGGCACTGATTCTGATTACTGACACCATAATTTCAAGCAGGGAAATGCCCTTATGTAACTCCACTAGGGATAGATGCTAGTAAGGATCAGGTGTGTGCCTACCTGGTCCACCAGATAGCTGGGCAGCTGGACAGACTTACCTACCCTCTGTAGTCACCGATATCCAACCTATTTTCCATGCGGTACTGTCAAAAATTGAATACTCACTTAAACATGGCTCAGTTGGTAGCTTCTGAGTCAAAAGGTTGTAGTTTCAAACCCCAATTCGGGACCTGCAACCCATACAGTTTAGGCTGACGTTCCAATGTGGTGCCTGGAATGTAGTGCATTGTTACAGGTACCGTCCTTCGAATGAAACATTAAATCAAAGTCCTGTCTGCCTGTTCAGTTTGATGTTAAAAATCGCCTGGCATTATTTGGAAAAAAAAGGGAGTTTTTCCACTCTCCTGGCCAACAATTCCCAACTAAAACTGATCATTCTCTCCTTGGCTGTTTGTGTGATATTGCTTTGCGCAAATTAGTTGCTGCAATCCTCTACAAAAAATACACAGTCACTACACTTTGCAGTAATCCTGTGAAGTGTTTTGTGACGTGCTCCTGATGCGAATTATAATAATAATAATAATCTTTGCATTTGATATAGTGCTTTTCACGTCAGGAGGACGTCCCAAAGCGCTTCACAGAACACACTGTAAAGTGAATTGACTGTATATTTGTGGGCGAACGTGGCAGCCAATTGCACACTTTAGATTGAAAATGACCAATTTATTATTGGTTTTTTTTGGAGGGATTATTAATAGGCGTGTGGAGTAAGGAAACTTGCCTAAGGTTTCGCTTTGCCTGGAATTGAACTCAGGTCTCTCACTTGCAAAGCGAGTGCTCTAACCACTGAGCTACAGGACTCCACAATTAGTCTTCACAAGGACTGTGCAGTGGTCACAGATATGTCTGGTGCTAGTCTTTTCACTGGAGTGAATTACTAATCTCAATTACCCCGTCAAGCGGAAGTACTGAGTAAAGACTAGACGTTCCCCCCAAAAGACAATCCAAGGCTTCTCTCGGTGACCATTTTAAGAGCAACTATACAAATGCCTGGGGCCAGCTTTCTTTCACATGGGGAGTATTGATGAACCAGGAAAACAGTGCAAACTGTAATAAAGTGGCGGAAGGAAATTATGAGAGTTCCAACTTTGAAAATAGTATGTAATCGATAAAGAAATACCTCTTAGATTATGATCAGGTCGAATCGACTGTGATACCATTAACACTGTGTTTGATATCTTGATCGCCAGGCACACTCCAAAGTTTGGCATCTTTACAACGATCGCTACCGCAAGACTCAACAAGGTCATGTTTCAATAGCTTTGGCTTCCCATTGGGTAGGGCCTAAAAATGAGGACTTAAATGTTGGAAACATCAAACTTTGCCAGTGCTCTATCAACTCTGTGCTGGGTTGGTTTGCCAAACCCATATTTATTGATGGAGACTATCCAGAATGTATGAAGGATAACCTCAAATCACTGCTGCCGCTATTTGATGATGGAGAGAAAATGGACATAAAGGAAACAGCGGATTTTTTTGCACTCTCTTTTGGGCCACTGAGCTTTCGACTTTTGGACCCGAAGTTGATATTCAAACAATCTAAGAAATACTTTCTAAGACAGCTCCTGTCTTGGATCAAGATGGAATACAATAACCCAAAAATATTCATTGTGGAGAATGGCTGGGATGATAACAGCAGCACCAAAACTGAGGACGTATACAGCATGTACTCATTAAAGGTCTTTCTCATGGATGTGTTGAAAGGTAAGCATTTTCAATCAATCTTTTCATTAATGGATTGTTTCATCACCACAAAAGGTCGTTGAAGGAAATAATATAAATTGGACAAGTTGGGAGAAATTCCACCTGGGTCTAGATGTGCAGTATTTTCTTAGCATTTCAGAATGTCCAGAACTTATATAGATTTACATGCTGGCATTTATACTCCACGTGAGTTTCCACCCACAGCTTACACCCTCTCATACCCTTCTGTTACCTTCTTACTCATATGCATATCTAGCATCCTCTTAAATGCATCTATACTTTCGCCCACAAAATATACAGTTAATTCACTTTACAGTATATTTTGTGAAGCACTTTGAGACATCACAAAGACATGATAAGGCGCTATATCAAATGCAAGGTTCATTATTATACTGTGCAAATTTGGCAAATTGTTGAATTCTATCTTTGAAGACTTTTTTTCTCTTAAGTTCTTCAAAGAATTTGCAGAAAACAAGCTTCAAATCAACATTGCAATCAATAATGTGCCAAATTTTGGTCACTTTGAAACTGCTAAGAAAATACAGTAAATTGAGACCCAGGTGGAAACATAGTTTTGTTCCAGTAATTCTGCTTTACCTAGTTATACACCTAGCACTGTAAACAATATTAGTTTAATATATATAATAATAATCCTTGTAATAATCTTTATCTTTGAGAAACGCCTTTTCACATCAGGAAGACATCTCAAAGAACTTCACACTTAAACTGTAGTCACTAAGTATCTTGTAAGTGAACAATGATATTAATTATTAATTGAATTTACTTTTAAATATGAAATTTACTTTCCTTTGTTTGAAGTTAGCTTTGTTTATCCAAACAGTTTCACGAAATACTGCCAACCAGTTATTGTATAATTAAAAGAAAACAATTATCTTGTGAGGTGGTCCTGTGAGCATTACTTTTGTGTTGTTCTGAAACGTGCGTTGTTTTATTTCTGTCTTTCTTAGTACCTTACATATACAACTAGTAACTTCACTATGCCAATTACTGTGCCTACTGGGTTATAGACATCACCATGTCTCAACAGACAGCAACAAACAAGCAATGACCCAACAGGCAATAATAAACAAAGTGAACAGAATGATGAGCAACATTACCAAATCATTTCAGTCATTTCAGTTCAATTCCCCAAAAGTCAAACTCTACATTACTCAAATATGCAGTCATTCCACTTCACAATAAATTCACAATACCTTCTCCCAATGTGAAAGCAGTAAAACAAAACAAGTATTAAAATAATAATAATTATCCTTGCATTCGATTTAGCACCTTATCACGTTGTTGAGATGTCTCAAAGCACTTCACAGAGTATATTGCAAATTGAATTGACTGTATATTTTGTGGGCAAAACTAATATATTATTATTTGCAGTATTATAATTATTATCTGATCTGGAGTACTGCACACAGATCTGGTCACTGTGAAATTGAGGGATGGCCAGGCTGTGGAAGAGAGCATTGAGGTTATCCCTCAAGCATTGGATATCTGATCTATGAGAACCACCAAGTTTAAGCTTTTCAGTCCTTAAATGAGATGACTCAGAGGGGGCTGTTATGTAAGATATTTAGTGGGATAGAAAAAGTAAACCCAGAAAAATACTTTCAATATGCCATGTATACAGGACAAGAGATCAACGGGTTCATGATTGTGAACAGCAGGTTTAGAATTGATACCAGGAACAACACCACCACCAATTTTATATTTATTTAGTGCTTTTCACGTCAGGAGTAGGTCTCAAAGCCCTTCACAGAGCAAATTGTGAATCTGAGGTGTGGGTGGGGGGAGCTGAGGAAAATGGAGAGAAAGGAAGCATTTGTTTACACAGAAGTTAATTGACTAAAGGGTGGTTAAGGTTGGACTCATTTAATAACACAACTTGTTAGCATAGTAAACCTCACATAAGTCGTATCAGTTGGGACCATACATTTAATAAGACTTATGCAAAGTAGTAGTTATGTCAAACCTGCATAGAATATAAACTCTTCAACAGGAGTTGGGCAGATGTATGACTTAGGCAATTATAATACTAATCCTTGCATTTGATATAGCGCCTTATCATGTCTTCTAGACATCTCAAAGCGCTTCACAGAATGTACTGTAAAGTGAATTGACTGCATATTTTGTGGGCGAAACGCGGCAGCCAATTGCGCACAACAGTGTCCCACAAACTGTTGTGGATTGAGTGACCAATTTATTATTATTATTATTTTTTGAAGGAATTATTTCCCCCGGAAAAGCAATCCCCCAATCGACTAACAACCGGGTTCCTACTTACTGCGAGGTAAACAGAGGCGTGTGGAGTAAAGAAACTTGCCCAACATTTTGCCCCGCCGGAAATCAAACCCAGGTCTCTCACTTGTGAGGCGAATGCTCTAACCACTGAGCCACAGGACAATTATACAATTTATACAGATCAGACTTATGCAAGTTTTACTGTACATTAAAATGGTGGTAGGGTGAGCATGCTGAAAGAGACCAAGTGGGCTGAAGGGCTTTCTTCATCTGAACCACTCTTGCAATCTTGTGTGTACTGATGGAACAGGCTATTAGGAAGGATGGTTAAGACTAAAGTAATGATCTCATTTAACAAACATCTTGACATGGTAACAGAAAGCTGACAGGTTTGATGTTCTGGGTACATATAAACTTTGTCATCCGACTCGCTCAGGATTTCATAAACTTAAATTCTAATAGGATTTTACAAAGTGTTAAATATCATCTGATGTACATTTTTTACTGACACACTTGGTGCCATATGATGGAGTCATAGTTCTTCATTTTAAAGAAGATCACATATGTATTGGTTAAAGTATATGCAATAATCCAAATATTGCATAAATGTGATTGTTGTAAACAACAAAAATGCTTTTCATAACTGACACATCTGATCATAGGTGGGAGCAGATTGGAAATATGTCATTATACTCTCTCCTCATAGCACTACCCGATGCCTCTGCTCTATTGGCTCCGGCCTCCTCCTTGTCCCTCGAATCCTCCAGTTCACCATTGGCAGCTGTGCTTTCAGCCACTATGCCCCGAAGCTATGGAACTTCCTTCCTCAAACCCTTCGCCTTGCCCCCTCTTTTCCCATTTTCAGATCTTCCTCTTCGACCATGCCTACGGTCACCTTCCCCCTCCCACTGGCTCGGCATCGGGCTCCACCATTGTTAAGCGCTCTGGGATGCTGCCTGGTGTGAAGGGTGCTATGTAAATGTAAGTTGTTGTTGTTGTAGAAATTGCCCTTGGGGAGCAGAGATTTTGGCCTTTCTAGCCAGATAAATCCAAGGAAATCACAATTAAAGACAAAAAAAACCTAGAGCTTGATGTAAGCTTAAAGGAAAATAACTCAGAGGGAACCTCATAGAGCTGTAGAAAATTTTAAATGGGATTGAAAAAGTAAAGTGATCTCCCAATTGACTAACGACTGGGTTCCTACTTACTGCGAGGCAAACAGAGGCACGTGGAGAAAGGACACTTGCCCAACGTTTTGCCCTTATGAGAATCGAACTCTGGTGCTCTCGCTTGGAAAGTGAGTGCTCCAACCACTAAACTACAGGACAGGGTATCATTTTGTACAATATTTTTTTAAAAAATCCTAGGCCTACTAGAGAGGATTTGGGCTCTACCAGCCCGACAAACCCTGGGAAAGTCAAATTATAGCAAATCGATGGAGGGGCTAACATTTACAAAAAAGGATTACTCCCCCAGGGTAAGAACATCAAGCTAACATCAAGCTCTAGGTCTGGCCTCCTCCTTTGCCCCCCGAATCCTCCGCTCCCTCATTGGCGGCCGTGCCTTCAGCCACTACTCCCGAGGCTCTGGAACTCCCTTCCTCACTCCCTTCGCTTTGCCCCCTCTTATTTTCAGGTCTCAGCTGAAGACCTTTCTTTTCGACTGCACCTTTGGTCACCTTCCTCCCTCTCCCCCCGGCTCGGCCCCGGTATCCGTTACTGTGAAGCGCTCTGAGACGCCGTCCGGAGTGGAGGGCGCTATATAAATCCAAGTTGTTGTCGTTGTTGTTGTTGAACAAACAGCAGCACTTCAACTCTGAGTGTTATGTGGATGGAAGCACCATTTGCAAGAATTCCTGAATGCCTTCCTAAAATAAGGTACAAAAGATGCTTAGGCGATTATACAATTTATACAGATCAGACTTTTGCTGTATCCGAAGATTTTTAAAACTTAAGTTGATTTGCCAGGCTACATAAACTGATAAAAAAATATATAATTTGCTCTAACCTGAAAAATAAATGGCAGTTATTTAAGTTATTATATTTTTACCTTCATGATTCCCAGGATTTTGAATTCTATAAGTAATACAGTTAGTCTATTGCTTTCCCGCCAAATCCTGCAAGACACTGATTAAAAGGCAGCAAATGTAAAATCATATGGAGTCTAGAATCAAGAAAACAGGTTATTTGGAGAAACCAAATTAAAATGCTGGTTTGCAACTAGGTTCAATGTCCCTTCCACATTCAGAATCTGTCACATTGTGTTACTAATTAAGCAGCTCTCCACTGCCTCAGGATCATGCTGTGAAATCCTGTCAGCAGGTAATGAGCCTTTTACTGTGACAGAGACTCACGCTCTGTAGATGATAACAGACATGCTGACCTGGAGATTAATCCTCTAGGTGGCCTCTTCTCATTAAAGGTTTCAGGTCTTTGTACTTGTCCTTTCTCCCCCACATCCGTGCCATGACCGGCACTGCCCATTACCACCTCCGCAACATTGCCAGACTCCACCACTGCCTCACCCCTCAGGCTGCTGAAACCTCACCCACACATTCGTCATATCAAGACTGGATTATGGAAACTCCCTCCTCATCGACCTTCCCAACTCTTCTCTTCACAAGCTGCAGATCATCCAAAACTCTGCAGCTCGTGTACTCTCACACACCAGGCACCACGCACCTGACCCCATCACTCCCACCGTCGCCCGACTCCACTGGATCCCCATCCCTCATCCTACCTCTCTGA